TGTAGCAATAAAAAGGGGGTGTGTTTTGTATATAGGTATATTTATTAATAAAATGAGTAGCCAAGCGCTTTTGTCACTTGTCTAGTGACATCATCAGGGCTAGCCCTGAAAAGTGAGTAAACTTTAGTTTTAAATTGCAAGATTAAATTCTTGTTTTACTTACTTGTCAAGGCGAGCTTACATTTCTTAACAGCAGCGAAAGTGAGGAACAAAAATACATTTAGCCCTGAGGGGGATTTAACAAAACAGATTTTAAAAAATTTACATTTTTAACGTTAAAAATTTTTGACATATGACAACGGAACCATGAGGTGGTTGTTACCAACATAATTGGATTGGTGCCAACTTCGTAAAACTAATATTGGCGGTAAATTTGAAATAACATGATTGATGATACTATGAGTAACAAATTATAGATTGGCAAGTTACAAAAAGTCTAAATAATAGTGAGGAACAAAAATACATTTAGCCCTGAGGGGGATTTAACAGAACAGATTTTAAAATTACATTTTTAACGTTAAAAATTTTGACATATGACAACGGAACCATGAGGTGGTTGTTACCAACATAATTGGATTGGTGCCAACTTCGTAAAACTAAGTGTAGCGCCCAGGTACAAAATGTGGTGATAAAGTTGCGAAATGATTGAAAAATTTATGAAATTATAAATAATTAAAATTTTTTTAAAAATTTTAACAATTTTTAAAATTAAAAATTAAATATTATAAAATTTATGCTTTCAGTGGCAAACTATCTTCGTTGGTAAAAGATAGGCAGTTTACCATAAATTAATCTGTTTGTAGATAGGTGGTAAAAGATAGGCAGTTTACCATAAATTAATCTGTTTGTAGATAATATTGTCTACGTGTCTTATTGATGTTATGTTGCGTGTTAAAGGACTTTTGTTCAACTTGTAGGTATAGAAGTTATTTGCTAAAGTAGCAATGTAATCTTGAATCGGCTGAAGGCCTGTCAATTCATACAAAGTGTCTAGCGTTGCATAGCGCCCCAGACCGGTTATGTGCCTTATGGACTTATTTTGTAGACGCTGCAAGTGCAGCATCTGGGTATCTGACACTGAGCACCAAACGGCGCGCCGTTTGGTGCTCAGTGTCAGATACCCAGATTAATATGTACACCGCGGTACACTACCGCAGGTCAGGATGTACCTGGTATTGGTTTTTGACTTGATAGTTTTAATATGAGAGCAAAAGTTTAGCCGGCTATCGAGGGTAATACCCAGGTATTTGGCTGTTGGCGTGGGTATTATACGATGGTTATTGATTTCGACAGGTGAAAATACTCTGTTATTGGTAAATTTAACTGAGAAATTTACCATCTCGGCCTTTGAGTGGTTGAGCTTTATTTTCCACCTGTCGAAATATCTTAGTAAACTGTTAAAGTAGATTTTTATTTGCGTAGTTGCCACTTGAGAGTGGAAACTCGATGAATATGCCGCGGTGTCATCGGCGAAGAGCCCAATGTTAACATGCGCCGACTTAGGTATGTCTGCGGTATATAGAGTGTAGAGCCGAGGAGCAAGGACTGTGCCCTGGGGGACAGCTCTTATTGCGTATTTATTCGACCTCTCCTGTCCCACGGTTACTTGAAAGGTGCGTTCGGACAGAAAAGAAAGAATAATTCTGATTAATTGTGGCGGGAGGTCGAACGTTACGAATTTAGCTATCAGCCCGTCTATCCAGACAGTGTCAAACGCCTTTTCCACATAAAGCAGGGCCATAACAGTGTTCTTGCCACTGTTAAACGCCTGCTTGACGTCGTGGACAATTCTAACCGCCTGGTGGACGGTGCTGAGGCCGGGGCAAAACCCAAATTGCTCCTGCGGTGTGATTCTCCTTGCTCTATCGACTCTATTTATGATACTTAATATTTCCCGTTCAGCAACCTTAGAAAGGTTGCTTACTAGGGAAATGGGCCGGTAACTGACAGGCAGAGATGGGTCCTTGCCTGTCTTATGTATCGGTACCACTAGCGCATGTTTCCATTGGGCTGGAAAATAAGATGTCTTGATACAGGCATTTATTATATAGGTTAACTGTACTATTGTCTTTTTTGGCATATTTTTCAACAATATGTTGTCCACGTCATCGATACCCGGGGCCTTACCATTCGATAACCTACTGAGTGTGCGCTTGATGTTTGCTGGGCTGGTAAGGAAAGAATTATCAGTGTTAATAATATTACCCAGATTCCTGCGGAAAAGTTGCGCTGTATCCCTGATGTCCTGCTGCTCGGCGGTCAGGTTATTAGTATCGGTATTAGTAATATTATAAAAGCATTCGGCAACAGCCTCCGCCTACTCCTTGTTGGAGACATGCATAGTGTCACCGGTGACCAACGTTGGGAAGTAGCCATTCCTTGGTTTAATCCTCCTGGCTAGCTTCCAAAGGCTGTTGTCGGATGCTTTTAATTTTCTGAGTTGATTGCCCCAAGCCTCGTCTTTGTATGCCCGCAGATCATGCTTAATCTCAGTTCTAAGCCGATTATATTCGGCTTTGTACTCGTCTCTGCGATGTTTATCATAGAGACGTTTTTACTTATTTTTATCATCGATTTTAGTGATGATTGCTGCGGGAATACTGTCAACTGGGCTTTTGACTTTGCATAGTTTGGTAGTTCTATCGCGCGCCCACAGTAGGACATCAGTGAATGTAGTAACCGCAGCTTCAATCTCTTGATGCGTAGATATTGTGTTGTTAATGACGGTATTATTGTTCAGAATTTGCCTGAACTTGTTCCAATCCGTCTTTGTATAATTATGCGTAGGCCTAGGTGGCGGTGGGTTTTTGAATCGCGTTAGTATAGTGAATAAGACCGGAAGATGGTCAGAGTCTAGCTCGTGAAGAGCGATTGGCTCCTCCGGTATTATGACGTTCTTTGTAATAGAGATGTCTAGCGTCGAGGGGGTCTGTCCGTTTGTCGGGTAGTGCGTATGCTCACTCGGGTAGCTTAATAGGCATTCACTGTCCGTGATATAATCATTGACCGTTCTGCCATTCTCGTTGGTCCTGTTACAATTCCAGACTGGGCTGGTTGCGTTCAGATCGCCAACGAGATTACATTTATTAAAGGAAAGCAAAATATCTAGGTCGTGAAGCGTGAAGTGATTTAAAGGTGAATTGTAAACAGCGATTAAATGAATATTATTGATTTTAATGATTAGGTGTTCAAAGGATGAATTTTTATTACTAAGTTTGGTGTGAGGCACCCTATTGTTTACAAGCACTGCCACACCGCCGCTCCGACGAGCACCCGGGCGGTCCTGCCTGTAAACTTGAAATTTATCAGTGTTAATTAAAAAGGTCTCATTAATTACCATGATATCCACTGAGTGAGCTGTCAAGAAATGTATTAGTCCTGTCGTTTTATTTTTCAGCGAATTGGCGTTCCACTGAGCTATTATTAGTTCGTTGGTAGTGTCTATGATGATATACCGTATTTACCGATGTTAAGTGTAAACTGCGCTATGACCGTGAACCTACTTATGTCGTCTTTACAGTGTTGTAATGCGTCATTCAGATCCCTCACAGCGTTGATCATTCCTTGTATGTTAATTAGACTGTTTAAGCGGCCGAACTCTGAAATCAAACTATTGAATTGCGAGTTATCATTATTATTATGTGCAAGGGACTTATCTCCGTCGGTGTTCCGTGACGCCATGGCTCTCAGGGTTGGTGGTCTCTGTTCCCTGCTGGTGGTTGCCGTCTCTGCTGCCGGTGTTGTTGGCTAAGCGGCTGCCCTGGCCGCCCTTGCAGTCCAATAGTTTAGTTTTGGTTGGGGTACTGCTACTAGGTTGGTTGGTTGATTGATTGGAAGAACGTGCGGTTGATTTAGTGGGTCGCATCCCCTCGAGGGCCTCGACTCTGAAGACGTAAACGTCGCAGTCCTCGGCGTTGGCTTGATGCGCTCCATCGCAGTTTGCGCATTTTTTCGGCTCGTCCGCTCCATTGACGCATTCTTTGGTCCAGTGCCCGCCGGCGCATTTCATGCACCTGACTGGTCGCTGGCAGTTAGAGGTAGCATGACCCCATTGCTGGCAACGGTGGCACTGGATGATCTTCCTCGCCTGTTTGCGGAGCTCCCAGTAGAATCTGGTATACTGGAGGTGACGGACGCTCCTATTCAGGTATTGCAGGGTGATGTCCTCGTCCATGACAACCATGAACAGGGGCCTGCCTTCTGTTCGTAACTGAAAAATTTTGTGTACATTTAATTGATACTCTTTAGATTTAAGTTCATTTTGTATATCGTCCGGGGTGACACCCGCGCCTAGCCCGCGAAGGATAAACGCATGTGTCTTATTTTCACTTGGTGTGTACGTGGGAAACGCGGTTTGATCTAGCTTAAGTTGATTAATTATCGCTTGGTAGTCTGTCATGTTCTCAGTTGATAGGATCATATTGTACTTAGTGTACTTTATTTTAAATTGGGAACCGCACTTGTCCTGCATCGCTTTGATACCGGTTTTATGGTTATCGAAGTTACCCGAGATAACTATTGGCGGCGGGGGAGGGCTCTTTTTGGCGTTGGTTTTGGCGTTTGTATTTAAGTTTTGGGGGGCATTATTAGGCAGATGTTCGAATCGATTTCTCAAAGGTAAAGGTTCCGCGGCGCGCACTTTACGTCTGATAACCTCAGATATGGGGAACACCTTGTTAGGGAATACATAACCGTCTTTTTCGGCAGGGGGGCTTGATTGGCACTGGTGCCAGCAACACTAGTGGGGTTATTCAGCTTGCTCGCGTCATCGGTGTCCGTGGTTTCCATGTTGGCTGGAGATCCATTGGCGGCGTTGTCAGGTGGTGTGTGGCTACCGGGAGGCGTTAGGCCGTCACCGGTTGCATCTCCGATCTTGTTGAGTTGTTCAGTGGCCGCCATCTTGTCTTGGTTGTCGAGCTGGTCGGCTGCGTTGTCTTCCCACTCGCTACGGAAAGCGGCGGGAGGTGGGCTCGACTGCTGTCGCTCCCACGTGTGTCTACGCTGGGTGGTGGTGGGGTGCCGTCGCGTTTCCGGCGATTCGGACCTGCGCTGCTGGTCCTCGGAGTCTTCCCCTGGGCTGGTCGGCGTGGACTTTGTGCGCGGAGACTCGGATCTGCTACGGTTTCTGTCGGCGCACTCTACGCTGTTGGTGTCGTCCTCTGGCGTAGGTGATTTCTTCGTAGTCGTGTTGTCGGGGACCAGTCCGACTCTTCGCTCGATTGACGGGGGGTCAACGGGCTGCGCGGTGACCTAGATCTTGTTGTTGCCGGGCGGGCGCATGCTCCCGTATCTGCGTCGACTTGCGTGCTTACAGCTTCCTGTCGCGTAGGCTTTTCCTCGTAGTACGCCTGCGCCGAGACGTTAGCGGGTGGTAGGACAGCACGTGGTGGCCGGTTGTTCGCTGCTGGCGTAGCCTGCCAAGATGGCGTATTAGGTATATTTGACTCACGTGTTTTATTATTGTTGTAATTAGCTGCGGATTTCTTATAGCGCCTGCTCATCTCTTCCCTGACGTAGGGGTTGTTGGCGTATGATGCCCGTATACTTTGTATACGGCTCTGGAGAGTCTTTGTAGCCCCGGCTATTGCCGGTTTGCCACCATCATTTTTCTTGCTTATTTCGGCACTAAAAGCGTCCGAAACGGCACGAAAACACACACATACACTTAGGTAGTCTTAATTGTCACTTTGCACTATGAATATTTATAGATTACTCTATTAAAATGCGGAAAACTCGTGAATTTGGCCGGAGCTCTAAATTACACGTCCGTTCGATTCGACAATCGGAACGGGAATGATGACGAGGACCAAATCAAATCAAAAATATGTTTATTTAAAATTTTTACAATGGTTTGCGGCGCCTGCAACTCGGTCGCTTTATGTAATACAATACTTTATAAATAGCATTTTTTCTGGCCAGAAGGGCAACTGGGTGGCCCCTCCACGTCGATGTTGTGACGGACTTTGATTGCACGCTGCCGGAAATTACTCAGAGAAATGGTCCGCCTTATTCGCAAGTGATTTGGCGTCATTCGTGGTTTAGTTGTTATTTATCGGATGCGGGCGCTTAGGGATGCTGTTTATTTTTTTGTGGTTTTGGATTTGGCATTGGAGGAAAAATTTAAAAAAACCTGCTTTAAAATTGAGATGGGAGATTTTGGTTGGTTCAAACGGTGTCAGACGTAATATGAATGTGGCCTATGTGGCATTTTGGTTGGCGCGCTACACGCCGAGCGGGGCCCAGCGCAAACAGAACAGCCAGCGACCAGCCCAAGACTAGTCACCGGCCACTCCCAGCCGCGGCAAGCCCCGCCCACCCTGCAGTCGCGCAATGGAGTTTGCGTTGTATTTTTAATATTTTGGTTAGTTAATTGTTTGGTCTTGGTTCTGAATATATAGGTAATTTTCTGTAAATTAACCCATGCTTGATATTTTCGTTGTCGTGCGCTCTGATTCTTGTAATATTTTGTAGTAATGGATTTATATTTAGTTTTTGTTTATATAAGATGTCAGCCATTTGTATAATGTAGTTTTTGATGTAGGGGATTTCGGTTGTTTCGTGGAGATAGTCTATATTGGTGTATCTGCCTAGGCCCGTTACGTGCCTAAGCAGATTGTTTTGGATGCGTTGGATTGTGGTATAATTGGTGTCAGAAATAGAACACCAGACAGGATGTCCGTATGTCATTATTGGTCTTAAAGCAGCCTTGAAGAGTATGATTTTGTTTTTTTGACTAAGTACACTTTTTTTATTAATTAGTGGATACATACTCTTCAAGGCTGCGAAGACTTTTTGTCTGATATTGTTGACGTGTTTAGTGAACGTAAGTCTGTTATCCAATATTATTCCCAAATATCTGACTTCTGTCTTTTCTCTGATTGTGACCCCGTCCATGACAAATGGCGTGATTATTCGGTTGTTAGTGAATTTTTTGGTAAAGTGGATAAGCTCAGTTTTTTCTTTATTAATCTTAATCAGCCATTTGCCATAGTACGAGGTCAACAATCTCAAGTGTATTTTAACTTGTGCCGCAGCAACTTGTGTATAGAAAGAGTGTGCGTATATTGTAGTATCATCGGCGTAGAGACTTAGTTTTGTTTGTCTAAATTTGGGCACGTCAGACGTATATATGCTGTATAGTTTGGGAGCGAGTACCGTTCCCTGTGGGACGCCCGGCCTTTATTGCTTATGATTGTGAGAAGGTAGAGTTAACATTGACCACAAAGCTGCGGTCCCTCGGGTAGGACGCCAGCAAATTAAGAAGGGTGGAGGGTAGCTTTAGTTTGTGCAGTTTAAACGCAAGACCGGCCAGCCATACCTTGTCAAAGGCCTTCTCGATGTCCAGCAGGATCATGACCGTATTTTGGCCATGATTATTTGCCTGCTGGACATCGTGAACGACCCTTACGGCTTGGTGTACGGTCCCGTGTCTAGGCCTGAAACCAAATTGTTCATTTGGAATTATTTTTAGTTTTTTGTCCCATATATTAATGTGGCTAAGTATGATTCTTTCAGTTACCTTGGACATCGTGGACAGTAAACTAATGGGCCTGTAGCTGCTGGGGAGGGTGTGATCTTTATGGGGTTTGGGGATGGGTATAACTATTGAGTTTTTCCATTGTGCTGGGAAATGTTGAAATTTTATAATATTGTTGATAATGTAGTGAAGTTGAACTATTGCTTTTTGGGATAAATTTTTTAATAATATATTGTCTATTTTGTCGGGGCCAGGGGCTTTGTTATTTGCTAGAGTCCTGATGATGGACCGCAGCTCTGAGGGGTTTGTGGTATAATGTTTCAATATATCAGGGGTTAGTGGTTGGGGTATGTTGTTTACGATTTCCAGCTTCTAGTATTTCTTTCCTGAATTAATTGACTTATGTCTGTGGTATGTATGTTAGCAAAATGTTTTGCAATAGCGGTGGCTTTTTCAGAATCTGTTATTTGTTCGGTATTGTCATATATAAGGGTCGGTATTTGGGATCTCGTTTTTTTTAATTTTTTGTGGAGAATCCAAAGACTGTTGTCCTTGGGGGAAAGTTTGTTAAGGGTGTCTGTCCAATAATTGTTTCTGTATACGCGGATTTCGTTTTTTATTTCAGTTCTGAGTTGGTTGTATCTATTTTTATCAATTAAATTACTGTAAAGGTTGTGCATTTTTTTGGCTTTGTTTTTTGCTTTTATTTTTAGAATTATATTGTCAGGCAAATTGTCTTGTGGGGATTTTATTTTTTTTGTAACCGTTGTTTTGTCTCTACGCTTGATTATACAGTCCGTGAATTTTTTAATTTCGTTTTCTAATTCTGTTGTATTGTTTATTTTATTGTTGATTTTAATAAGTGTATTTAATATTTCACGGTATCTGTTCCAGTCTGTATGTTTGTATTCAATGAAAGTCTTTATGGGGGGTATCTTGGTTTTGTGGTCTATCTCTGCGCAAATCGGGAGGTGGTCTGAATCGAGTTCGTGTAACGCATCGATAATTAATCGATCGTTAATTATTACGTTGTAGTATAACATTAGGTCAATTACACTGGGGGTGGTGTTATTGTATGGGTAATGGGTGGGTTCGGGGGGTCAATCGAGACAAAACAAATTGTTTTGTATGAAGTTGTAAAGAGTGGTACCGTTAGCGTTGTCTCGATTGCACCCCCAAGCCATATTTTTGGCATTGAAGTCGCCTATAATTATGAATTTATTATAGTTGGTTAATTCGTTAAGATCTTGGGCTGAAAAATTGTTATTTGGGGGGTTGTATACACCCACGACGTAGATGTCATCTATTCTTACTATGATGTGTTCCAAGGTTATTGCCAATTGTGTTACTGTGGTGTGAGCCACGTGATTCCGGATCAGAACAGCTATACCTCCTCCGCGGTGGTTCGCAGGCCTGTCCTGTCTGTGAGTCACGTAGTTTTTTATTTTTAGTTTTTCATTGGCTTTTAATTTTGTTTCGCTGATGAACATGACATCCACGTCGTGGGTGCTCAGAAAATGTATGAGCAGGGGGATTTTACGTCTGACACCGTTCGAGTTCCAACTTACCACTTTGATTTTGTTTCTATAGCTTCTTGTTATGATTATATGTCATAGTTATTAACTTGAAAAAGGGCGAATTCTAGAAATTTCTAAAATCGCTTGCTTAGTGGTAGAGTTGCGCATGAGATTAGTCGAATCCCTAAGCGCCTGCATCATAGGGCCTAGGTTTACTTCCTGCTGAAGGCGGGCCATTTCTGTAAAGATACCATTAAAGTTATTTGTTTCATTACCGGCAGCGTGCTTTCTCGTTTCTGGAGGGGCCTGTTGCGTGGGATTCTGTGTTGACTGGGGCTGTGCTGCTGCTTTTCTGGTTTCCCAGTAATTGACTGCAGGTATCGGCGCAGGGACGTACTTCTGCTTCTGTTCTGGTTCTTGTCTTTTGGTAAGTTTGGTGAGTCTATATAGGTAAACTGGGCACTCTTTGAAAATTGCTGGGTGATCAGCGCCACAGTTGGCACAGGTGGCAGGTGTTTGCTTGGATTTCTGGCACGTGTATGTTGGGTGTTCTTCCGCACACTTGAGGCATTTGTACGGGTTGAAACAGTTGGTGGTGGCGTGCCCCCACACCTGGCACCTGTGGCACTGCTGCATCCTCCTGCTGTTCGTTCTGGTCTCCCAATATATTCTCGTATAATTTATATATCTAACTGTAGAGTTTAGCCATTGAAGGGTAATGTCCGGGCTTGTAATTATCATGTATAATGGTCGAAATTGTGTTTTTAGTTTGTTCTGCTTGTAGTGCTTTATTGATGTCTTCTATTGACATTTCGGCGTCGAGGCCCCTCATGACGAAGGCATGTGTTCTATTTTCCTGGGCGGTGTAGGTGTGAAATGGTGTTTGATGTTCCTTGAGCACATCGACGTATTCTTGATATTCACTATTGTTTTTAATGTTCAAAATGGTATTGTTTTTCGTGTGCTTAATTGTAAAATCCTTGGTGAACATTTTTAGATTTTCGACAACTTCATTGTGCTTCATCGTTGTCTTACCTGTTAAGACTATTGGCGGAGGTTTTTTTATATTTTGAGCACTGTTGTTTGGTTGAATTGATGTAGTTTGCTTATCTCCGGTTGCAGTTTGTGATGTATCAGGTGGTAAAATATTACATGCAGATGTGGTTGTGGTTTGTGATGTTCCGTGGATAGGGTCGATGTTTTTTTGTCCAGTTTCATCGTTTCCTTCGCTTAATGGCCCGAATTTATTTTTTAGAGGAATTTCTTTGTTAGCTGTTTTTTTGTTTTTGTTTTTATTTATTGTAGTTATCGGGATGTATTTTTTTGGGCTAACTGGGGTAAATTCTTTATCATGAGTTGATAGATCGTCTTCATTTAAGGAATAATCGGTTGGGGATTGATTGTCGGTGCTCCTCATTGTAATGTCTGAATCGGTAGTTTTATTTTCTTTGATTTTTTCTAGTATTTCTTTTATGTTAATTTCTGCTTCTTGGTCTTGCTTACTAGTATTTTTAGGTTCTTTCCTTTTTCTGGGTTGGGACGAATTTGAGTCACTGCCGTTTTTGTCTTTGTTAGTGTTGTGCTTTTTGGATTTTTTTAATTTTTTCTTCTTTTTGGGAGTGGAGTGAATTTCCTCTATTGACTCTGCGGCTGATTGCTCGGATTTTTGCTTTGACGGAGCGTCAGTCTTGCTTGGGTTAAATCTCGCTGGGCGAAGTGGTGAGCCTTGTGGTTTGATGAACTCTGTCGAGCCAGCAGTGCTATGTACGTTGGCTCCGCCCACTGATGTCGATTCCGTATCGGGGATAATTTTATTTACCAGGTTGTAGATAGCGGTTTCTACGTCGTATTGTTCAAAGTTAATCTCCCGCCTGGCAGATGGCGCTGCGGAGTGACGCTCTGTTTCTAACGGTTTCGGGGAAGATGCTTCGGGCTTTCCTGGTTCGCTGGATTTTCCTGGGGTCACACTTTGTTTCTTATCGTCTCCGGGAGGATTCATTTGAGGGTTTTGAGTTTCTTTGGGGGTTTCACAGTCTTTCCGGACTCGGGTATGGAAACCCTTGTCCGGGGGGGTATTTTTCACTGTTTTTGGTGTCCACTGGGTAACAGAACTGTCAAGGGGTGAGTTTCACCCCTATTGTCACTTTGGTTTATCAAATTAGTCACTTTTTTTAGTTTTTTTCACTATTTTTCACCGAATATTTAGCGTGCGTTCGCTCTCGCTATCGAATGAAGACTATGACGAGGACCAAATCAAATCAAATATAATTTATTCTTACAATTAATATCACAGTTATTTGGTTTACATTTCAAATACAATTATATAATTAAAATAAAATATATCTATATAAATACAAATAGAGTTCTATTATTATTATCGAAATCACAAACAGGCAGGTACAGCGCTGCCCGTTGGGATACCGAGATATAAGGGGGGTCCAGATTCGCGATGGTAGTCCCGGCGTCTCTGGAATCCCTGGCAGATGTTGTGCCCTTGCATTGTGACATGCCAACCTTCAATTTGTTGCCTGCAGAGCTGGCCATTCCTTTCGCTAGGCGATCCAGGGGCGTTGCTGGTTTTGTTATTTAAAGTAGAGACAATGGGCAGTAAGGGGTGGTTTTTTTGTTGGTCATTAGTTGTTGTTATGGCTTTAGTAATTGAAGGGAAAAGTCGAGTAAAAACCCTTCTTAAGAGAATTGATCCGTTTTTTTCTGCACAAATAGATATCTAATTATTGTTTGATGGTTTATATATGTGTATATATGTCTGTGTGTTGTGTATGTGTGATGACACAAATTGATTTGCATCAATTTATGTCAATTTAGGTGATTTGAATGATTTTTATATGTGGCATTTATCTTGTGGCTGAGTATATCGCGATTTTATTTCGCCGCACCGTGCAGAGAAATTTTTTTATTTATGATGTTTTTTGTTATTTTTTATTATTTTTTTATGGTTTTTTGATATTTTATGCGTCTATTTTTTTTAAGCCCTTTTGGTTTTTGGGATAATTTTTGAATTTTTATTATTTTATTTTCGCAACTGTGCGCGCAAATTTCTGCTTGCGACACAGTACGAAAATATTGTTTATGTTTATTTATGTTTTTTTTGTTTGTTATGATTCTTTGTTTATAAGTTTGAATTTATTTTTGGTTTTTAATTTTATTATTGTGAGAATTTTAGTATTGAATTTGCTTTAGCTTAAGGCACACTATTCCCGTTCGGGGCCGGACAAACGAGTCTATATCGCGTATACGGCCCTTAGTAGGGGTAGTTTTTAGACGTAAAAAGTTAAGTTGTTAATTATTATTTAAGTTTTCGTGAAATATTGAAAGTTTTCCATATATTAATTGATGTTTATAGTGTAATGTGTTGTTATGTCTTGTCTGTGTCATGTCTGCAGTTAGTGGTGAGTATTTAATTTTGTTTCTAAAGAAATTGTCTGAAAGTTTGTAGATGAATTCCTGTTTGCGCTCGATTTCGGAGTCTGTGTGGAGTTGCTCCATTGTAGCGTATCTATCTAAATTCAGGACAAGTCTTAGTGCCTTATTTTGTAGCTTTTGCACTTCTACCATAGTTGTTGTAGGTATTGAGCACCATACCGGGCATCCGTATGTTATTGTTGGCCTAATTGTTGTTTTATATATTAATTTTTTGTTATTGGTGTCAAGAAAACTGTTTTTTTTTATTAGGGGGTACATTCGCCTGATGGCTGCATATGTTTTAGCCTTCAGCGTTTGGACGTGGTAGCTGAAACTTAGTTAACTGTCCAGGTTTATTCCTAGGTATTTTACATGTTTTTTGTCTATGATTTCTACATTATTTATTTTGATTGGACTAAATATTTTATTGTTCGTAAATTTTTTTGTAAAGTTTATTACCTCAGTTTTTTTTTGGTTAATTTTGATCTTCCAATCCTTAAAGTATTTGTTTAAGCTCCTCAGGTAAATTTTAATTTGCTCAGCTGCCACTTGGGAGCTAAATGAGTGGTTGTACACGGCGGTATCATCAGCAAATAGTCCAATTTTTGTGTGTATAAATTTTGGGATATCCGCCGTGTACAAGCTATACAGCATAGATGCTAGAACTGTGCCCTGGGGCACTCCTGCCTCTATGCCGTAGTTTTTAGAGGTGTTGTTTTGTATTTTTACCTTTAGAGTTCTGTCTGTGAGGAATGACTAAATTATTCTTACTGTTGGAGTTGGAAAATCAAAATTAACCATTTTGTAGACAAGGCCGTCCACCCAGACCTTGTCAAACGCTTTTTCGATGTCAAGCAGGGTCATTACTGTGTTCTGCCCCCTGTTGAACGCCTGCTTGACATCATGTACGATTCGTGCGACCTGGTGTGTTGTACTTAGGTTTGGCCCAAACCCGAACTGTTCTAAGGGTAGTATTTTTAGTTTTTATTGGATTTTTCAATATTGTCAAGGATTACTCTCTCAGCAATTTTTGATAAATTGCTGAGGAGGCTAATTGGTCTGTAATTGGCTTTGTTTTTAGGGTCTTTGCCTGGCTTGGGGATGGGGGTGATAATTGCCTGTTTCCAGCTGGTTGGGAAATATGCTAATGATATACAAGAGTTTACTATGTATGTTAGCTGGACTCTTGTTTTTGTGGGGATATTTTTGATCAAAGTGTTGTTTATTTCGTCCAGCCCTGGTGCTTTATTGTTATTTAATTTAGAGATTATAAGTTGGATTTTACTGGGGGATGTGAGTAGCTTAGGGTCAATATTGAATTTTTTGGTTTTAAGGTCTTTAGAAGTTTTTATAATAGTGTCTTGGTTCGGTGTTTTATTTATTGTGTACTTCTGTCCGGATTTGTTGGGTTGTTTTCGCTCTTTTAGTTTTTTACCTTATAAAGATATACTTCACATATTTGTGAATTAGCGGGATGGTCTTTGCCGCAGTTAGCGCAATTGGCTGGTGTTGTGGGCATCTTAGTGCAGGTGTTGGTTGGATGGTCTGCAGCGCATTTGAGGCATCTGTACTGTCGCATACAATTTGATGTGGCGTGTCCCCAGCCTTGACACCTGTGGCATTGAATTATTTTGCTTCCGGAGCTCCCAGTATATTCGTGTGTGCGCTAGATATTTTATTGTTTCGTTAAGGTACTTTAGAGTAACGTTACCATCCGTCACGACCATGTAGAGCGATCTGAACTTGGTGGTAAGCTGGAACAATTTCTCGACTTTGATTTCATAAGGTTTTTGTTCAAGTTCTTCCTGGATTTCGGCAGTTGTGATGTCCTCTGCGTCGAGGCCTCTGATAACAAAGGCATGTGAGCGGCTGTTCATGGGGGTGTACGTGTGGAACTCCTCCTCTTCTTCGACCAGCATGTCCACAGTTCTCCTGTAGTCCTCCATGCCTTCCACGTTCACTACGGTGTTGTTCTTCGTGTATTTAATGCTAAATTTTCCTGAGATGGTTTTCTTAAGGCCCTCCACGGCCTCTTTGTGGGAAGTCATGGTGCCTGCTATTATAATCGGTGGAGGTAGGATTTTTTTCTTTATGGTTGTAGTTTTGCTCTGGGTTGGGGCTGTTGTTGGGTTTGTGCTATTTTGCCTCGACACTACGGGTGTGGGCTGCTTAGTTGGTGGTTGCCTGGTTGCTTCTGCGCTGGTGTTGGTTGCTGTTGGTTCCTGTTGTGTGTCATCGGTTTCCATGACGTCTATCTTGTCAAGGTCCTGAAATTTGTTTTGGGTTCTTACTGGGTTTTGAATAATTTTTTTTATTTTGTTAATGGGTAGTGTTTTTTTTGGTTTTATGAAAAGGTTTTCATCGGTTGTGTTGGTTTGTTGGATGGGGAGTGTATTTTTGGGTATAGTAATAGGTTGTTGGCTGGGTTGGTTATTTGTATTATCAGGGTTGTTGTGGACTAGGACTTCTACTGTTATGGGGTGGTTTTCGGGTTGTTTTGGGAATAAATTGTTTATTTTCTTCATCGTTTCTTCCTTAAATTGGCTGGCTGCTTGGGAATTTTCTAAGTCCATATTATCTGATGTGTCGGGGGCTGGTGGTGGGTTCAGCGGGGGTTGTTGTGGTGCTGACATGTTTGTTTGGTCCTTAGTTGGTTGTATAATTGATGTTTCGGATAGTATTTTGATGTCATCAATTATGTGGATTTGGTTAGTTTTCTTTTTCTTTTCCAGTATGGTTTTGCTTTTCTCTGATGGATGGCGTTTGGTCTTGACTGAAGTTTTCTTTTTGTTATTTTCGGTGTTTTTGGTTTTATTTTTGGAAGTGATATTTTGTTTAATATTTACGTAATTTGTGGCTTGCTCAGTGCCGTGATCTTCGTTGTCACGACGCACAGAAAAATTGAAGCAATCTTCTTTGTTGCTACTCGATTTTAATGCTTGGTTGATGTCTTTGTTTATTTCGGCTAGAATCTCACTGGTAGATGGCGACACGTTGAAACTTCCTACTTCATGGAAGGATTCATCAGAATTATTTGGAGATGGTTCGTAGCTCGGGTTAAAATTATATTTGCAGTTCACTAGTAAATTTGGATTAATGTTCTCCTTATTGACACTAGGTGGCGTTTTATTCACTGTCACTAAATCTGTTGAGTTGTCTTGCACTGTTTTGTTGTCACTTACTTTGAGTGTTTTTGGGCTTTTGTTAATTGTTTTGGGGGTTTTAGTGGTTGGCACACCACGGCCTTTCCATTGCTGGTTGTTCCCCTTGTTGGGGATTGCTCCTGGCGGATCAATTGTGGTTGTGGGGGATGAACCAGTGGCACTGATGAGTGTCCGCACTGTACACAAGTGTCACTTACACGTGGGGGAGAAAACTATTACGATTACACAAAAACTACATGTCTAAACTTAAAACTAATTACTTCACTAATAAAGTCATTGTCTTTTCACTATATTGTTCATTTTTCACCAATTATTTCGCAATTTTTATCACTTTTTAAGACGATTTTCGTTCAACGATTTTTACAACGCCCTCTGACGAGGACCGGCGTATTCAACGTGTTACCGGCGAAGTTGGCGTAGGTCGGCCGGTATTGCTGGGAATCGACCAGTCCGACTCGTGGCTACGTTGCGAGGTGCTGTTGGGTGATGGCGAGTTGTGGCTGCGCGGCGACCTAGATCGGTTTGATTGAGGGCTAGCGCACGCTCCGGTCACTGGGTCGACCTGCGCGCTTATAGTTTCCGGTGGCGTAGCCGGGTCGGCGTAGTACTCATGCGCACTAACGTTCCTTGGTGGCAAGACAGCACGTGGTGGCCTGCTGTTTCCCTTTGATGGGGTTTGCCAAGATGGCGTCTTAGGTTTATCTTGCTCACTTTTATCCTCAAATACCTCTAATGCCCGCTTGTGGCGGCGTCGCATCTCCTCGATGACGTAGGGGTAATTGCTGAAGGTGGCCCGAAGCCCCCTGCCGCGTCCTCTTCTAGTAGTTGATGCACCGGCATTTGCCGGCTTGTCGTCACCATTTCGCCCGGCTATTTCGGCACTTAAAAGCGTCCGAAATTAACGCGAAACACACACATACACTTAATCAGTCTTTATCTGTCTTTTGAACTATGAATTTAAATAGATTACACTAGATTTTACTTAAACGAATGCGCTATTCACGGAGCTCTCTCAAACACGTCCGTTCGCTACGAGAGTCGAACGGGAGTCGGGCCACGAGGACCAAAGTCAAAGTCAAAAACATTTATTTACAAGTTAAAAATATCACAGGTTTACATAAAGGATACAAAAACACAAAGGTAGATAATTACAGAGAGATTTTATATACATAGTACATACATAGTATATGCCCATCCCTCTGGGCTACGTCCAGGGGCCATGACCTCCCGAATCGCCGACGATGACAGTCGCCCTTCGTGCTGTAACTTCATTTATATATTTCTGGAGTTTGGCCGTTTGTTCACAGGGTGATTATGTGGCTCTGCTGCTTTGAGGGACCTAGGTCGATAATTAAGAAATGTCGTTTTTTGTGATTACTTATTAGTATAAACTGTGTAGCTGCCCAGGAAAAATTAGCAAAAAACCTGGTTAAATAATTGATTAAGTTTGCTGGTTTCGAAGTGACTCGGTTTCACGACTCCAGCAGCTTGCCGCCCTGGGGGCCGTCCCGCGGTACAGCACCCCGCGGTGTTGTACCGCGGGGTGCTGTACCACGGTGAATCCGTGTCGTGTGGCAGGTTTGTCCCCATGGCTACAAGCCGCCGCATCATCCACCTCGTCAACTCCGTTTTGTGTCCAGTTCTCTCCAAACACACTGTATTTTGTCATATTGGGTCTTAACAGCCCGGTATGGTCACCATACCTTTATGGGAAATAAAGGATGGCGACAGAGTTAGATAAAGGTTCGGTGACCGTCGACTGGTCGCTACACCTTTACGGGCTTAAAAAATTTTTTGTAAAGGTGTGGTGTTTCAATCATAAAGGTGCAGCGACTGGTTTGTCGCTACACCTTTATATTGAAATAAAGGTGAACCGACCGGGGAAATAAAGGTTCGGCGCCTGTTCAGTCACCACACCTCTATATTTACCATCTCGGTTTTACCGTGGTTGATTCCGATCTTCCACCTGTCAAAGTATTTCAGTAACGAATTGAAATATATTTTGATTTGTGTGGCTGCGACCTGTGAATGAAAACTCGCCGAATAGACTGCCGTATCATCTGCAAACAGCCCAACTTTCACATGCAACGATTTGGGTATATCGGCAGTGTACAAAGTGTATAGCCGGGGAGCGAGCACTGTTCCTTGCGGCATTCCAGCTCTTATGGCGTAAATCTCCGACCTCTCCTTGCTAACGGTAAAGGTGAGAATCTAAACTATATTGAACTGGAATTCTGCAACGTTGTTAAAAAGAGTTTGCTTGTATTAATAGCAATTCCATTAAACAATTTTGTTGTATATGGCTTGAAGTTGATTTAAATAGATACTTCTGATGTTGATGATGTCTACATTGATAAAGAATTAATATCGCGGAACATAACCATTGAATGTATTTTAATATATTATATATAATAATTATATAATTATTATCATCTTTTAAGTTGGCGTCTGCCACATTTGGCCATATTAAACGAAGAAGAAATAGACAGAGTGACAGAATATACTCGAAATAGGTAGGGAATGTGAATCTCTAACAGTTAGAAAAGGTGATCGCTTTATCAGGTACCTGGGTGATTGGCGAGTATTTATTCATCATACGTCGGACAAAATTTAACGTTCAAAACAAATAAGGATGCCGTGAGCACTGGTGGCTACCAAGAAAACTCAAAAGGAATTTAAATTAAGTGAATATAGGAATTCCACTTATGACTTTAAATGGAAAAACCTAAAAATAAAAAATCAAACATTTTTTTTTATTTTAACACGCCTACCTTTTAAAAAGAGTTGTTTTACTATGCGTTTTGAATCCTTAATGTTTATGAAGTTAAAAATTTAAAACTACTGCTCGTCTCGGTGCAGTTCATAAAAATGAACTAAAGCTGGAATAAATTTGATTAAACGAACAAACAACACTTGTGCTAACCACAATTTTTCTTCCAATTGAATGCAGCAAAAATTAGGAATAATCTTCATAAATCTTGAAAAATAATTTTCCTTTTCTTGTAAGTTCACGAAAACTCGTTCAGATGTAAAATGCGAGCAGTGTGCATGGGCCCAATCATCCAAATTTTGATTATATTCGACTTGTAATTCACTAATCACTGCTATGAGATCCTGTTCAAAATTAATTAATCGAAAATCGATTAGTTCCCAGTCGTATTCACTAAGTGTTGAAATTAAACCAGGCATATTTAATACATTTTTCACATAAAAACCGTCTTGTGTAAATCTAAAAAACAGATATATTATTTTAACACGCCTACCTTTTAAAAAGAGTTGTTTTACTATGCGTTTTGAATCCTTAATGTTTATGAGGTTAAAAATTTAAAACTACTGCTCGTCTCGGTGCAGTTCATAAAAATGAACTAAAGCTGGAATAAATTTGATTAAACGAACAAACAACACTTGTGCTAACAACAATTTTTCTTCCAATTGAATGCAGCAAAAATTAGGAATAATCTTCATAAATCTTGAAAAATAATTTTCCTTTTCTTGTAAGTTCACAAAAACTCGTTCAGATGTAAAATGCGAGCAGTGTGCATGGGCCCAATCATCCAAATTTTGATTATATTCGACTTGTAATTCACTAATCACTGCTAGTAAATCCTGTTCAAAATTAATTAATCGAAAATCAATTAGTTCCCAGTCGTATTCTCTAAGTGTTGAAATTAAACCAGGCATATTTAATACATTTTTCACATAAAAACCGTATTGTGTCAATCTAAAAAACAGATATATTATTTTAACACGCCTACCTTTTAAAAAGAGTTGTTTTACTATGCGTTTTGAATCCTTAATGTTTATGAGGTTAAAACTTTAAAACTACTGCTCGTCTCGGTGCAGTTCATAAAAATGAACTAAAGCTGGAATAAATTTGATTAAACGAACAAACAACACTCGTGCTAACCACAATTTTTCTTCCAATTGAATGCAGCAAAAATTAGGAATAATCTTCATAAATCTTGAAAAATAATTTTCCTTTTCTTGTAAGTTCACAAAAACTCGTTCAGATGTAAAATGCGAGCAGAGTAGTTATACTATGTATGTTCTGCATCAGCTGCAGCTGCGGCTGCTCAGCTGCGGCTGCTCAGCTGCGGACGGCAAACGTATAGGACGACCAAAAGCCCCGCCCCTCAGCTGCGGTGGAGGCAGGGACTATTCAAAAAAAATTCATATCAGATAAAAAACAAAAAATGGTCGCCTTGGGTTACCGGCAGGTGATTGGATGGTCAGCCTTGGTTTGGCAGCTATTTTTTAATAACTAACCTTACTTACCTATATTTTTTAATTAGTTTTATCTTTAAAAAAAATATTTAAAATACTGAAAGTGCGCGCATTCAATAGGGGTTGCTCAATAAACATTAAAAAAAAACAAAAAAATAAATTAAATTTTTTTTATTATCACTAAATTGTTGTCTATATTATTATAAACTGCACGCTCCTGCAGTTGCGATGGTGGTGGGTAATTTTGGATTACCCACGCTGGCGGCAGTTGTGGTTGCGTCAGCAATTGCAGGGGCGGCAGTTCTGGTGGTTGTGTGGCTGTCAGGTCAATAGTTTCTCTAAACAAAAATATAAAAATTAAAAAAAAAAATTTATAATATATTACATCAGGTCGTTAACCTTCAGCTCCGGTCCGGTCAGGTCAACAAAACAAAATTGTTATTTTTTGTTTTTATAAACTGCACGCTCCTGCAATATGGATGGTGGTGGGTAATTTAAAAAAACAAAAATGATCGCCTTGGGTTATCAGCAGGTGATTGGATGGTCAGCCTTGGTTTAGCAGCTATTTTGAATAACTAACCTTACTTACTTATATTTTTTAATTAGTTTTATCTTTAAAAAAATATATTTAAAATACTGAAAGTGCGCGCATTCAATAGGGGTTGCTCAATAAACATTAAAAAAAAAACAAAAAAAATAAATTAAATTTTTTTTATTATCACTAAATTGTTGTCTATATTATTATAAACTGCACGCTCCTGCAGTTGCGATGGTGGTGGGTAATTTTGGATTACCCACGCTGGCGGCAGTTGTGGTTGCGTCAGCAATTGCAGGGGCGGCAGTTCTGGTGGTTGTGTGGCTGTCAGGTCAATAGTTTCTCTAAACAAAAATATAAAAATTAAAAAAAAAAATTTATAATATATTACATCAGGTCGTTAACCTTCAGCTCCGGTCCGGTCAGGTCCACAGTTTCTCTAAACAAAAAAACATAAAAATTAAAAAATTAAATAAAAAAAAATTGTATAATATATTACATCAGGTCGTTAACCTTTAGCTCCACACCGCAAAAACAAAAAAATTCTCCACACACCCTGCAGGGCTCTTCAGTATAACAATTTTCTTCCAATTGAATGCAGCAAAAATTAGGAATAATCTTCATAAATCTTGAAAAATAATTTTCCTATTCTTGTAAGTTCACAAAAACTCGTTCAGATGTAAAATGCGAGCAGTGTGCATGGGCCCAATCATCCAAATTTTGATTATATTCGACTTGTAATTCACTAATCACTAGTAGATTTAAAACTACTGCTCGTCTTGGTGCAGTTCATAAAAATGAACTAAAGCTGGAATAAATTTGATTAAACGAACAAACAACACTTGTGCTAACCACAATTTTTCTTCCAATTGAATGCAGCAAAAATTAGGAATAATCTTCATAAATCTTGAAAAATAATTTTCCTTTTCTTGTAAGTTCACAAAAACTCGTTCAGATGTAAAATGCGAGCAGAGTAGTTATAAAGGGTTATCCAAGTTCAGCTTGAGAAAGTAAATTAACAAAAAACACAGTAAAGATTTAGATTGCGATAAAATTTTTATTTCATTATAAAGTCTGGTTAATGGCATTAATTGTGAAACAAAATATCATTTAAATGTCCTCCACGGGATCTCCTGCAGGACTCAATTCTTTTGAGGTAATTTTCTATTACTTTTTGGCACATTTCAGGCAATATCTCGGCCATTACTTGACGGATATTATCTTTCAACACGTCAATTGTTAGAGGGTTGTTGGCATAAACACGATCTTTTGCATAGCCCCACAAAAAAAAGTCCAATGGCGTTAGATCACAAGATCTTGGTGGCCAATTCACATCACCCAATCTCGAAATTACTCGTCCTGGAAACTTATCTTGCAACAAAGCCCGATTATTTCGTGTTCTGTGACATGTGGCCCCGTCTTGTTGGAACCACGTATTGGCCAGGTCCATATCTTCAATTTCATGCCAAAAAAAATCGGTTAACATACGGCCATATCGTTCGGAATTGACGGTAACGGTTCTTCCTTGATCATCTTCGAAAAAATATGGTCCAATGACACCACCAGACCATAATGCACACCAGACAGTCACTTTTTGTGGATGTAACGGCACTTCAACAATTGCCTGTGGATTTTCGGAGCCCCAGATACGGCAGTTTTGTTTATTTACGTATCCACCGAGCAAGAAATGGGCCTCATCGCTGAAGAAAATTTTCTTTGAAAAGTCTTCATTTAGTGCTTGTTGTTCCAGTACCCAATTGGCGTATGTTCGACGCTGTCCATGGTCTGTAGGCTTTAGTTCTTGTGTGAGCTGGACTTTGTACGGATGAAAATGCAAATCCAAATGCAAAATACGCCATACCGACCCGTAGGATAAACCCAATTGCTGAGCGCGCCGTGTAATTGATAATCTTGGGTTTTCAGTCACACTTGCACTAACCGCAGCGATGTTTTCAAGAGAACGTGTATTCCGATGGTGCACTGGTCTTATAATATCTGTCACCGAACCATTCCGTTCAAATTTATTTACAATGTTTAAAATCGTTTGTTGGGAAGGGCGATATGCCGACCATAATCTGGTCGTAAAGCACGATATGTGGCCACGGCAGAATTACCATTTTGGTAGAACAATTTAACAATTTTTAAGCGCTGAGCGATGGTTAAATGATCCATATTATAAAATGGCAACTATTCAACTACACAAATATCTGTTTTACGCACATGCGCAGTTGGTAGTTTTCGTATGTACAGCGTGTACTTTCTCAAGCACGAAATGGATGACCCTTTACTATGTATGTTCTGCATCAGCTGCAGCTGCGGCTGCTCAGCTGAGGACGGCAAACGTATAGGACGACCAAAAGCCCCGCCCCTCAGCTGCGGTGGTGGCAGGGACTATTCAAAAAATTCATATCAGATAGAAAACAAAGTGGCCGCCTTGCGTATCTTATTGGTTGGGGGCCTAATCGGCGTACCCACTTTTATGGGGGAGCTGCGGTGGAGGCAGGGGCTATTCAAAAAAAATTCATATCAGATAAAAAACAAAAAATGGTCGCCTTGGGTTATCAGCAGGTGATTGGATGGTCAGCCTTGGTTTGGCAGCTATTTTTGAATAACTAACCTTACTTACCTATATTTTTTAATTAGTTTTATCTTTAAAAAAAATATTTAAAATACTGAAAGTGCGCGCATTCAATAGGGGTTGCTCAATAAACATAAAAAAAAACAAAAAAATAAATTAAATTTTTTTTATTATAACAAAATTGTTATTTTTTGTTTTTATAAACTGCACGCTCCTGCAATATGGATGGTGGTGGGTAATTTAAAAAAAACAAAAATGATCGCCTTGGGTTATCAGCAGGTGATTGCATGGTCAGCCTTGGTTTGGCAGCTATTTTGAATAGGTAACTAACCTTACTTACCTATATTTTTTAATTAGTTTTATCTTTAAAAAAATATATTTAAAATACTGAAAGTGCGCGCATTCAATAGGGGTTGCTCAATAAACATTAAAAAAAAAAACAAAAAAAATAAATTAATTTTTTTTTATTATCACTAAATTGTTGTCTATATTATTATAAACTGCACGCTCCTGCAGTTGCGATGGTGGTGGGTAATTTTGGATTACCCACGCTGGCGGCAGTTGTGGTTGCGTCAGCAATTGCAGGGGCGGCAGTTCTGGTGGTTGTGTGGCTGTCAGGTCAATAGTTTCTCTAAACAAAAATATAAAAATTGAAAAAATTAAAAAAAAAAATTATAATATATTACATCAGGTCGTTAACCTTCAGCTCCGGTCCGGTCAGGTCCACAGTTTCTCTAAACAAAAAAACATAAAAATTAAAAATTTAAATAAAAAAAAATTGTATAATATATTACATCAGGTCGTTAACCTTTAGCTCCACACCGCAAAAACAAAAAAATTCTCCACACACCCTGCAGGGCTCTTCAGTATAACAATTTTCTTCCAATTGAATGCAGCAAAAATTAGGAATAATCTTCATAAATCTTGAAAAATAATTTTCCTTTTCTTGTAAGTTCACAAAAACTCGTTCAGATGTAAAATGCGAGCAGTGTGCATGGGCCCAATCATCCAAATTTTGATTATATTCGACTTGTAATTCACTAATCACTAGTAGATTTAAAACTACTGCTCGTCTTGGTGCAGTTCATAAAAATGAACTAAAGCTGGAATAAATTTGATTAAACGAACAAACAACACTTGTGCTAACCACAATTTTTCTTCCAATTGAATGCAGCAAAAATTAGGAATAATCTTCATAAATCTTGAAAAATAATTTTCCTTTTCTTGTAAGTTCACAAAAACTTGTTCAGATGTAAAATGCGAGCAGAGTAGTTATACTATGTATGTTCTGCATCAGCTGCAGCTGCGGCTGCTCAGCTGCGGACGGCAAACGTATAGGACGACCAAAAGCCCCGCCCCTCAGCTGCGGTGGAGGCAGGGACTATTCAAAAAATTCATATCAGATAGAAAACAAAATGGCCGCCTTGCGTATCTTATTGGTTGGGGGCCTAATCGGCCAACCCACTTTTATGGGGGAGCTGCGGTGGAGGCAGGGGCTATTCAAAAAAAATTCATATCAGATAAAAAACAAAAAATGGTCGCCTTGGGTTATCAGCAGGTGATTGGATGGTCAGCCTTGGTTTGGCAGCTATTTTTGAATAACTAACCTTACTTACCTATATTTTTTAATTAGTTTTATCTTTAAAAAAAATATTTAAAATACTGAAAGTGCGCGCATTCAATAGGGGTTGCTCAATAAACATAAAAAAAAACAAAAAAATAAATTAAATTTTTTTTATTATAACAAAATTGTTATTTTTTGTTTTTATAAACTGCACGCTCCTGCAATATGGATGGTGGTGGGTAATTTAAAAAAAAACAAAAATGATCGCCTTGGGTTATCAGCAGGTGATTGCATGGTCAGCCTTGGTTTGGCAGCTATTTTGAATAACTAACCTTACTTACCTATATTTTTTAATTAGTTTTATCTTTAAAAAAATATATTTAAAATACTGAAAGTGCGCGCATTCAATAGGGGTTGCTCAATAAACATTAAAAAAAAAACAAAAAAAATAAATTAATTTTTTTTTATTATCACTAAATTGTTGTCTATATTATTATAAACTGCACGCTCCTGCAGTTGCGATGGTGGTGGGTAATTTTGGATTACCCACGCTGGCGGCAGTTGTGATTGCGTCAGCAATTGCAGGGGCGGCAGTTCTGGTGGTTGTGTGGCTGTCAGGTCAATAGTTTCTCTAAACAAAAATATAAAAATTAAAAAAATTAAAAAAAAAATTTATAATATATTACATCAGGTCGTTAACCTTCAGCTCCGGTCCGGTCAGGTCCACAGTTTCTCTAAACAAAAAAACATAAAAATTAAAAAATTAAATAAAAAAAATTGTATAATATATTACATCAGGTCGTTAACCTTTAGCTCCACACCGCAAAAACAAAAAAAATCTCCACACACCGTGCAGGGCTCTTCAGTATAACAATTTTCTTCCAATTGAATGCAGCAAAAATTAGGAATAATCTTCATAAATCTTGAAAAATAATTTTCCTTTTCTTGTAAGTTCACAAAAACTCGTTCAGATGTAAAATGCGACCAGTGTGCATGGGCCCAATCATCCAAATTTTGATTATATTCGACTTGTAATTCACTAATCACTAGTAGATTTAAAACTACTGCTCGTCTTGGTGCAGTTCATAAAAATGAACTAAAGCTGGAATAAATTTGATTAAACGAACAAACAACACTTGTGCTAACCACAATTTTTCTTCCAATTGAATGCAGCAAAAATTAGGAATAATCTTCATAAATCTTGAAAAATAATTTTCCTTTTCTTGTAAGTTCACAAAAACTCGTTCAGATGTAAAATGCGAGCAGAGTAGTTATACTATGTATGTTCTGCATCAGCTGCAGCTGCGGCTGCTCAGCTGCGGACGGCAAACATATAGGACGACCAAAAGCCCCGCCCCTCAGCTGCGGTGGAGGCAGGGACTATTCAAAAAATTCATATCAGATAGAAAACAAAATGGCCGCCTTGCGTATCTTATTGGTTGGGGGCCTAATCGGCCTACCCACTTTTATGGGGGAGCTGCGGTGGAGGCATGGGCTATTCAAAAAAAATTCATATCAGATAAAAAACAAAAACTGGTCGCCTTGGGTTATCAGCAGGTGATTGGATGGTCAGCCTTGGTTTGGCAGCTATTTTTTAATAACTAACCTTACTTACCTATATTTTTTAATTAGTTTAATCTTTAAAAAAAATATTTAAAATAATAATAATAATAATAATAATATATTTATTTGCCCAACAGAATACAAAATTCCAATTACAAGACAAAATAATATGAAAAGTAAATATAAATTATAAACATAACAACAATGCAATTCAATAAAACTATAAACTAATTGTTAACATTATTTAGGTGTAAATTACATATATTAATTAATGAGCCCGAAGTTATAAAATTAATATCACAGTCAGGTAGACTATTGAAATTGCGAGTCATTAATTGAATGGGTGACATTAAATGTATATTTGTTCTTGAGCCATGAGTATAGAAAACTGAAGTAGACCTAGCATTCAATCTTGGAATGCGAAAATAGAGTTGTGATAGGAGAACAGGCGAATCAAGTTGTTCATGCAATAATTTATAAAGAATTATCACCGAATTTATAAAACGCCTCGCATATAGTAGTTGCATTTCAAAACGATTTAAGATATCTAATTGATTTGTGCCCCTTATCGGATAAGCCCCATCTAACCTAAATGCCAGGAACTTAACAAAACGTCTTTGTACTTTCTCAAGAGAGTCGCTATGAGTCTGATAGTATGGACACCAAATGAGTGAGCCATACTCAAGCCTTGAACGCACCAAGCTAAAGAATAATGATTTTAGTGCAAATATACTATTAAACGATTTACAGTTTCTTACAATAAGGCCAAGCATCTTTAGCGCAGAACATCGAACATATTGCATGTGCCTGTTGAAGCATAATTTCGTGTCAAAAAAGATGCCCAAATCCTTGACATTATCGGTACGCTGAAGAGGAATACCGTCCAGGAGATAGTCAAAATGAACCGGCTTCTTATTTAAAGTAAAGGAGCAAGTTTGGCACTTTTTAGTGTTTAAGGAAAGTTTATTTTGTTGACACCATTGTTCTACCTTCAACAGCTGATTTTGTAATATAAGACAGTCAGCAACGTCAGCAATTTCCAGGAAAATCTTTAAATCATCAGCAAAAAGTAGTGTGTTACAGTTAAGCATTTCGGGTAAGTCATTTATAAATATGTTGAATAATAGAGGACCAAGGTTGGAACCCTGTGGCACACCCGAAGTGGCTGAATAATATAAAGATTTATAACCATTGTGATAAACATATTGTTCCCTCTTATTAAGGTACGAGATAAAGAGATCAACAAGGGGCTTGCTAAAACCAAATAAATATAGTTTGTTTACTAAAATACCATGATCGACTCTGTCAAAGGCCTTGGAGAAGTCTGTATATACTACGTCGACCTGCTTTTTGAAATCGATAGAGTTAGCAACATATTGTGTAAAGATAGCTAAATTGGACACTGTAGATCTTTTGGACATAAATCCATGTTGGCTGATTGAAATATAATAATATTTATAATAATATTTATTCAACGGTAAATAACCAATACATTATAAATATATATATACAATTCACATAATATAAACAAAGCAAAACTTAAAACTAGTATACATAAAATTAAAAGTAAATATCACAGATTCTGAATCGACAACTTAAATCTTTTTAAACTACTACAAAAAAAGTCAATATCCAATTCATTCGCAAGTCTGCTTGCTCTATCAATTGGTGAGTTAAATCCATAATTGGTGGTATGTGAGCTTACATAGAATAAATAACAGTGTCTTACTTGTCTTTGAGGAACATGAAACTTAAGCAAATCTGGACAGTTTATTGCATTATTGATTAATTTGTACAACAAAATTAAACTCGATTGGTCGCGTCGTATACTTAACGATTGAAGATTCATCATCTGCCTTAAAATGTCATAATTTAGATCATCAAATTTTAAATTTAATTTAAACGCACAAACACGAAGAAATTTATTCTGGACGTTTTCAATACGTTGCACATGAATGTCATAAAACGGGGACCATATAATACTACAATACTCTAAAACAGAGCGCACATATGAAATAAAAACAGTTCTCAAACAGTTCACATTATCAAACTCAAGAAGCTGCCTTTTAATAAAGCCCAACATTTTAAAAGCTTTATTAGTGACAGCGCTTATGTGATTAGCAAAAGTTAATTTATTATCAAACATAACACCTAGGTCTCGAATTTCACTCACTTTTTCCAAATAGGTATTAAGTATCTTATATCGTGATAAAATTGGAGATTTCTTATGAGAAAAACTTATGCATTTACATTTTCCTAAATTTAGTGACATATAATTGGACTTACACCATATAGCAATCCGATCTAGATCAGCCTGTAACAGTAGATTATCACTAATACTGTTCACAATTCTAAAGATTTTTAGATCGTCTGCAAAAAGTAAACATTGACTAGATTTAACAACGGAACATATATCATCTATAAAACAGTTGAACAGTAATGGCGATAAATGCCCACCTTGTGGGACACCAGATGTTACATGAATAGGACTAGATTTAAAGTAGTTATTTATAAGAACAATTTGGGATCTCCCCGTAATGTAACTAAAAATCCACCTCAACAAACTACCATAAATGCCAAACGCTTTTAATTTGGCTATTAATACTTTGTGATTAACAGTGTCAAATGCTTTGGAGAAATCAGTGTATATGGCATCGACTTGGTTTCGCCTCTCCAAAGCATTTACGAGAAATTCATTATAAATTAGTAAGTTTGTAGAAGTGGACTTACCGGAAACAAAACCATGTTGCTGAAAGGATAAAACACCACGGAACTGGTATGTTATTTTATCTACTATAATCTTCTCGAGCATTTTAGGTATAACTGAAATTTTTGAAATTGGTCTATAGTTGCCAATATTTGACTTATCCCCTGCCTTATGTATTGGTACAACATAAGAAGTTTTCCATACATTCGGGAAAACAGAACAATTTAATGATAAATTGTATAAAAAACATACAGGCTTAGTTAAAACAAACCTACATTTAAATAAGAATATCATTGGTATATTATCAGGACCGGGACTGCCACACTTATTCATTTTGATAAATTCATTAAAAACATCAATTTCTGAAATATCACAGGTATTTATATCAACAGTCTGTAGCATGTTATAATCAGGTACATTTATAGTATTGTTTTTACAGTAAACAGAGGAAAAATGTTTGGCAAACAGGTCTGCTGTGTATTGTTCGTTATCAGTCTGTGTTTCATTTAGGAACATAGATTTAGGTAAACTGTTATTATTGCGTTTTGACTTAACATAATGCCAAAAGTTCTTAGAATCCTGTTCAATGTTATTTTCGATAGTGCGTAAATAGGTAGAGTGGCATTGATTTACTAGAAGTTTACATTCCCGTCTTAACTCACCAAATATATTATAATTTTCGTGTGTTGGATTAATTTTATAATCCTTATGAGCACATTTCTTTTTAAATATTTTATTTTTAAGTTCTTGGGAAAACCACTTAGGGAACTTATGGGTACCAAACATTTTTTTGCAAACAAATATATCGATAAGATTATATAAAATTTCATAAAAACTGTTGACACATACGTTAATATCTTGACTAGCAAATACGAGATCCCAATTAACAATTGACAGATTTTGACATATAGGTAAATAATTCGCATTTTTAAAATCATAGTAATAATGTATATTATTTTCATCGCAGTTATTTATAGATATCGTTAGAAATAAAGCTGGATGATAATTGTCACAGGGTAAAAGATTATCAGTTGCTTTAACCACATTATAAGAGTAATTATCACAGAATATTAGATCAAGTACTTGATTAAATGAATTGGTTATCGAATTTATCTGAAAAAGGTTACAGTAATTAAAAGAATTGGTAATACATAAGCTTTTATCTGTCACATTTCCATGTACATTCACACCATGTTGATTATTAGTCCATGAGCAGTTTGGTAAGTTGTAATATAAGGCTTTATCTGACGATATATATGGGAGTGCATACACTTCTCCAAGACCTTGGCAAAGTTACTTAGAATGGAAATTGGACGGTAGTTCAAAGCAAGAGCAGGATCGCCAGACTTAAAAACAGGGCAGACTTTTGCAATTTTCCAAACTTTAGGAAATCTAGAAGTGTTTAATACCTTCTGACATATTAAGAACAAGGGTTTACTAAACACGGCGGCACAATCTTTAACTAGAAAGCTAGGCATAAGGTCCGGACCTGTAGTAAATTTGTTTGGTAAAGACTTCAATGCATATAATAGGTCTTGTTCACTTATGTCAGATAGGGATATGGTGCAATTATTACCAACGACATGGCTTTGGTCCAGTTCAATTTGTCCACGGGGCAAGAATACACTTTCAAAGTGATTCCGGTAACCATTAACAATATCGTCAGGTTTGTCAACAAGTACACCGTTAATATATATCTTACCAGGAATCCTAGACGATCCCTTCTTATCACGAATGTATGTCCAGAAGCTATTCGGATCGTTTTTAATGCTGTTTTCAACTGTGGCTAAATATGTTTTATATGCATTAGTAACGTCACGTTTAACACTAGCTCTAAGTCTTGAAAATTCAATATAATCAGAGACCAAACCCGAGCGCTTGTATTTGCGATGATATTTATCTTTAGTTTTTAATTTGTATATGATTGAAGGACTATACCATTTTGGATATTTGCATTTAATATTCTTTGACATTGGCACGAAATTATTAAGGATATTATAAAGTTTATCATAAAATCCCTGACACATAGAGTCAGCATCGTTGAGGGCTACTAAAAAGTTCCAATCAACCTGACGAAGTGATTCATACAAACCGATAAAGTCCGCCTTCTTAAAGTTATATGTTCGTATATTTTTATATGTATCAAATATTGCAGGCTTAGAAGAGGTTATTTTGTAGTTAATTTGTAAAGCAGGGTGATAAGGATCTAATGGTACAAAAGGTTGTGTATCATGATACACCTCACACTCCAAGTTGCTAATTACTAGGTCTAAAAGGCTGTTGTGATTATTTAGGATGTTATTGAATTGATTTAGGCCAGTAACATTAAGTAGATCATAGATGGCTTGACACTTTAGGTTATTTAGATCCATCTTAATAAATTTGTTAACATTAAAGTCACCCAAAACTACAATGTTTTTATGATTTAATAAATATAGTTCAAGCTCTTCAATAAACGAGACAAATTCAATACATGATAACTGAGGAGGAATGTATAAAATAAAAATAATAACACTTTGATCCCTATACATAATATTACAACCTAATATATCAATGCGGGGAAAATTGTTCCTTAATACAGAAGTATCAACAAGAGTTACATCATAAGTACTATTACAGGCAAGGAGAACACCACCTCCACGTGCGGTATTTGTTTCTGTGAATAAGCGATCACAACGAAAAACGGTGTAGTTCTTAGAAAACAGTTCGGTATTTTCCACATTGCTAGAGAGCCACGTCTCCACTAACGCAATAATGTCATATTCCTGCAGTGACATAGAAGCACAAAACGTATCAACTTTGGAGTTTAAGCCACGCACATTTTGATAGTACAAATGAAACTTCGATGATAGACTGTTGGGCCCTACTCGTTTAAAGAGATACTGAAAGTGCGCGCATTCAATAGGGGTTGCTCAATAAACATTAAAAAAAAAACAAAAAAATAAATTAAATTTTTTTTATTATAACAAAATTGTTATTTTTTGTTTTTATAAACTGCACGCTCCTGCAATATGGATGGTGGTGGGTAATTTAAAAAAAACAAAAATGATCGCCTTGGGTTATCAGCAGGTGATTGCATGGTCAGCCTTGGTTTGGCAGCTATTTTGAATAACTAACCTTACTTACCTATATTTTTTAATTAGTTTTATCTTTAAAAAAATATATTTAAAATACTGAAAGTGCGCGCATTCAATAGGGGTTGCTCAATAAACATTAAAAAAAAAAACAAAAAAAATAAATTAAATTTTTTTTATTATCACTAAATTGTTGTCTATATTATTATAAACTGCACGCTCCTGCAGTTGCGATGGTGGTGGGTAATTTTGGATTACCCACGCTGGCGGCAGTTGTGGTTGCGTCAGCAATTGCAGGGGCGGCAGTTCTGGTGGTTGTGTGGCTGTCAGGTCAATAGTTTCTCTAAACAAAAATATAAAAATTGAAAAAATTAAAAAAAAAAATTTATAATATATTACATCAGGTCGTTAACCTTCAGCTCCGGTCCGGTCAGGTCCACAGTTTCTCTAAACAAAAAAACATAAAAATTAAAAATTTAAATAAAAAAAAATTGTATAATATATTACATCAGGTCGTTAACCTTTAGCTCCACACCGCAAAAACAAAAAAATTCTCCACACACCCTGCAGGGCTCTTCAGTATAACAATTTTCTTCCAATTGAATGCAGCAAAAATTAGGAATAATCTTCATAAATCTTGAAAAATAATTTTCCTTTTCTTGTAAGTTCACAAAAACTCGTTCAGATGTAAAATGCGAGCAGTGTGCATGGGCCCAATCATCCAAATTTTGATTATATTCGACTTGTAATTCACTAATCACTAGTAGATTTAAAACTACTGCTCGTCTTGGTGCAGTTCATAAAAATGAACTAAAGCTGGAATAAATTTGATTAAACGAACAAACAACACTTGTGCTAACCACAATTTTTCTTCCAATTGAATGCAGCAAAAATTAGGAATAATCTTCATAAATCTTGAAAAATAATTTTCCTTTTCTTGTAAGTTCACAAAAACTCGTTCAGATGTAAAATGCGAGCAGAGTAGTTATACTATGTATGTTCTGCATCAGCTGCAGCTGCGGCTGCTCAGCTGCGGACGGCAAACGTATAGGACGACCAAAAGCCCCGCCCCTCAGCTGCGGTGGAGGCAGGGACTATTCAAAAAATTCATATCAGATAGAAAACAAAATGGCCGCCTTGCGTATCTTATTGGTTGGGGGCCTAATCGGCCTACCCACTTTTATGGGGGAGCTGCGGTGGAGGCAGGGGCTATTCAAAAAAAATTCATATCAGATAAAAAACAAAAAATGGTCGCCTTGGGTTATCAGCAGGTGATTGGATGGTCAGCCTTGGTTTGGCAGCTATTTTTGAATAACTAACCTTACTTACCTATATTTTTTAATTAGTTTTATCTTTAAAAAAAATATTTAAAATACTGAAAGTGCGCGCATTCAATAGGGGTTGCTCAATAAACATTAAAAAAAAAAACAAAAAAATAAATTAAATTTTTTTTATTATAACAAAATTGTTATTTTTTGTTTTTATAAACTGCACGCTCCTGCAATATGGATGGTGGTGGGTAATTTAAAAAAAAAACAAAAATGATTGCCTTGGGTTATCAGCAGGTGATTGGATGGTCAGCCTTGGTTTGGCAGCTATTTTGAATAACTAACCTTACTTACCTAAATTTTTTAATTAGTTTTATCTTTAAAAAAATATATTTAAAATACTGAAAGTGCGCGCATTCAATAGGGGTTGCTCAATAAACATTAAAAAAAAAACCAAAAAAATAAATTAAATTTTTTTTATTATCACTAAATTGTTGTCTATATTATTATAAACTGCACGCTCCTGCAGTTGCGATGGTGGTGGGTAATTTTGGATTACCCACGCTGGCGGCAGTTGTGGTTGCGTCAGCAATTGCAGGGGCGGCAGTTCTGGTGGTTGTGTGGCTGTCAGGTCAATAGTTTCTCTAAACAAAAATATAAAAATTAAAAAAATTTAAAAAAAAATTTATAATATATTACATCAGGTCGTTAACCTTCAGCTCCGGTCCGGTCAGGTCCACAGTTTCTCTAAACAAAAAAACATAAAAATTAAAAAATTAAATAAAAAAAAATTGTATAATATATTACATCAGGTCGTTAACCTTTAGCTCCACACCGCAAAAACAAAAAAATTCTCCACACACCCTGCAGGGCTCTTCAGTATAACAATTTTCTTCCAATTGAATGCAGCAAAAATTAGGAATAATCTTCATAAATCTTGAAAAATAATTTTCCTTTTCTTGTAAGTTCACAAAAACTCGTTCAGATGTAAAATGCGAGCAGTGTGCATGGGCCCAATCATCCAAATTTTGATTATATTCGACTTGTAATTCACTTATCACTGCTAGTAGATCCTGTTCAAAATTAATTAATCGAAAATCGATTAGTTCCCAGTCCTGTTCAAAATTAATTAATCGAAAATCGATTAGTTCCCAGTCGTATTCACTAAGTGTTGAAATTAAACCAGGCAAATTTGATACATTTTTCACATAAAAACCGTCTTGTGTAAATCTAAAAAACAGATATATACATATATATTTATATATCTAACAAATATGACCCAAATAAGGGTGTTTTATTGAATAAAAGATGCCATTAGTTAATCCACAGCTAATCATTAGTTCTTGACATTAAACCATTAAAATTAACTACAATTTAATAACAAGTTTGGTTGTTTTTCTCTTAAAAACCACATTTTTCCATGGGATTTTTCATTTATCATAATTGAAAGTGCCACGTAATAATTATGAGAATCAATTAAATCAATCGTATAAATAAATAGTGGATGTCACTTACCAAGTAACCCCATAATTTTAATTTAATTCGCCCTTATTTTAACAAATCTAAATTCGTTTAAGCACTTATTTAAATAGTACAAACCTTTTATAATAAATTATTTGGTTTTATCATGGTTCATTAAAAAAAGTACGATAAAGTCAATCATATAACTAACAAAAAATAATGTTTAGTTTGAAAAGTTTATTTACAAAGCAATCAATTCCACCTATCCTTATATATGTATGTAATACGAAACATTATCTATTTTTTTCTACTAAAAATACAGGAAAAAAATGATTGATTTAACCAATAAAATTTAAATATATGCTGATCTAATTTATTTTTTGTAAGTCTGACTTGTTCAGTATTGTAATGGATACCTTTTTTCGTTTCAATTAGCTCCATTTATTAATTGCATAACCTAAAAAATATACAAATGCATAAATAGCTAGTAAAAAAATTCCTACTATTAACAGAGCTATAAATTCTATAAATATTTTTGTGGAAAATGTTGTTGAATTCGAATAGGTCACCGCCCTTGTAGTGGTAGATAAATTGGTTAAATTAGTTATTACACTATTTAAACTATTTATTTCAAAAAGGCTTCTAGTCTTTCCACCATCTGCTGATAAAATATATTTTTATTTATAATGCAATATAGAGCTATTTGCTGAGGCATTAACTTGTATCCTGAATACAGCAGGAGCTACATCCATTGGATACCAATCATTTGGCCATTGAGTCTTTACCATTGGATTATCAACACTGAATGCCACATAACAATCCTGAGTGTTTTTGCGAAAATTTACAAATAAAGTATTATTAATGAATGCAGATAGTAATAAAAAATTTGCTGTCGAAAACATGATTATTAGATGATAGTAACTCAACAACTAACCATTTTTTACATTTTTAATTAGTATATATCTGAAAAAGTGGTGGGGAAATAAAAATTTAAAAGATTTACGTAAACATTTATTTTTTAATAAATAAATTTTTATTGTTACTTATTGTGTTAATGTACACATAACGCCTTTTTTTAGCTGGGGATGGTAATTCATTCATATCGAATAAATCCACCACCCCCTCATTTGGTTCTAGCAGGCAACGGAACGGAGGCAGTGGGGAAGACTCTAATAGCATCGGTGAGGGTGAGGTTGACGGCGAAGGTTCCGATATCGATGAGGGCATTGGGGAAGACTCTAATAAATCCACCACCCCCTCATTTGGTTCTAGCAGGCAACCTGACTCTAATAACATCGGTGAGGGTGAGGTTGGCGGCGAAGGTTCCGATGCTATTGCTGAGGGTAGTGGGGAAGACTCTAATAATATCAGTGAGGGTGAGGGCGGTGGCGAAGGCTCCGATGCTATTGGCGAGGATAGCGATGAAGGTGACTGAGTTCTAAAAAGAAAAAAAATTTTAAAACTTAAATTTGGGTTACAAACCTGATGGGCATAACCTCTGAACTGTCCATTGAAGTGATTATGATCTCTGACTATAATGTCATCCTGCCTAAAGATTTTTTTGCAGATATGACATGATGGAATGGCATCCTTTAAGTCAATATCATTTTGCATGGGTTTTTAATTTTAATTGTACCAGTTTCGATACTTCTGCAAGCTCATTTGCGAACCACTGTATACAATCTAGACCGCGATAGCTTTTGTAGTACGATAAATTATCATCATAATCACATTTAAAATAATATGCGGCGCTAAATGCTTTATGTTCCTGATATTTTAAAGACTTTATAGAAATATTTTCATTTATGGGTAAAAGAATAGATTCTATATCAGCATATACAATAAATGGTACTTTTTCTTGAAATTTTTCATTATGAAATTCAACAAAGTCATACTCAGGAAAAGAAATTTTGCTTTTGTTAATTTTTATACAATATTTTTCATGCTCAGTCAACTTTGCTTGATTAGAAAAATAATTTAGGCAACAATCGCAAATAAACATTTCTTGACCACGTTTACTTGTTTGCTTGGATATTAGTCTAGATAAATTTTTAATCCAGCAGTAGTGATATTTTATTTCGCTATCATCAGATACATCTATAAGTGGTTCGCAATCAGATTGCTTGGGAAAATACATATTTTGAATTAAAAGCTAATTGATGTGCTGATCTAATTTATTTTTTGTAAGTCTGACTGGAACAGTATTGTAATGAGTACCTTTTTTCGTTTCAATTAGCTCCATTTATTAATTGCATAACCTAAAAAATATACAAATGCATAAATAGCTAGTAAAAAAATTCCTACTATTAACAGAGATATAAATTCTATAAATATTTTTGTGGAAAATGTTGTTGAATTCGAAGAGGTCACCGCCCTTGTAGTGGTAGATAAATTGGTTAAATTAGTTATTACACTATTTAAACTATTTATTTCAAAAGGGCTTCTAGTCTTTCCACCATCTGCTGATAAAATATATTTTAATTTATAATGCAATATAGTGCTATTTGCTGAGGCATTAACTTGTATCCTGAATACAGCAGGAGCTACATCCATTGGATACCAATCATTTGGCCATTGAGTCTTTACCATTGGATTATCAACACTGAATGCCACATAACAATCCTGAGTGTTTTTGGGAAAATTTACAAATAAAGTATTATTAATGAATGCAGATGGTAATAAAAAATTTGCTGTCGAAAACATGATTATTAGATGATAGTAACTCAACAACTAACCATTTTTTACATTTTTAATTAGTATATATCTGAAAAAGTGGTGGGGAAATAAAAATTTAAAAGATTTACGTAAACATTTATTTTTTAATAAATAAATTTTTATTGTTACTTATTGTGTTAATGTACACATAACGCCTTTTTTTAGCTGGGGATGGTAATTCATTCATATCGAATAAATCCACCACCCCCTCATTTGGTTCAAGCAGGCAACGGATAAGTCATACTCAGGAAAAGAAATTTTGCTTTTGTTAATTTTTATACAATATTTTTCATGCTCAGTCAACTTTCCTTGATTAGAAAAATAATTTAGGCAACAATCGCAAAAAACATTTCATGACCACGTTTACTTGTTTGCTTGGATATTAGTCTAGATAAATTTTTAATCCAGCAGTAGTGATATTTTATTTCGTTGTAGAAAGTCATGCGGTTATTTCCTGAATATTTATTGTAGAGAAAGTAGGAATTCAGAAGCAACATTTGAGAGATGTGTATGCCAAGCTTTAGGGGCCATCTCAGAGATTTCTTACCGCAGGGGTAATATGCTAACATTTGGTCCTGTTTGTCGACTCCTCCCATGCTTGTATTATATTCGATCACAGGTAATGGCTTCTCTCTTTCTTCGCCTCTTCTATTCCTTACATTCCTCATCTCATTGGGAAATTCAGAAGAGATGTAAGTAACATCCCTTTTGTCCCTCCATTTTCCTACCAATATGCCCTCTGAGTATCTTCCAATGGTTTCACCTCTGCCTAATTTAGCAGACTTCACTTCAGGCGGAATGAACTTCCTATCAAGACGTACCGTTCCTGCAATATTTCATGGAATTGTTATTGATATGTATGTATGTATGTATATATGAACAAACCTGTTGAGTATGTCTTTGCTGCCAACAACTCCGAGGACAAGGCTACGCTGTTGTAATAATTATTCATGAATAACGAATGTTCAGCGTTGAGTTTTTCTTCCATGAGATGTAAAACTATTTTACTTGCATGCCCCTTTCCTCCAAAGTCGTCCAGTGACCCCGAATATACAGCAAATTTCAGAATTATCCCATTGGGTTCGCACAACATGTAGAGTTTTACTCCATACTTGTGTTTTTTGTTTTTGATATATTGTCTGAATACCAGACGACCGCGAAACAAGACCATCGATTCATCTATACACAAATTTTTATCCGGATAGTAAATATAATTCATTTTCTGATTGAAGTAATCAATAAGAGGTCTTATTTTGTACAATCTATCGTCTGGTTTTCTTTCTCCCGGAAGGGGGTTTCTTGTGAAATGAAGGCATCTCAGGATCAGCAAAAATCTATCACGGCTCATTTTTGCGCGAAATATCGGTAAATTGAAGAGAGAACTTTTCTTCCAATAATCGTTGATACGATTTAGCCTGATCGTTCCCATGTGAAAAAGCAAACCAAAGAAAACTTTGAGTTTTTCTACAGTCAGATCTTTCCAGCGTGCAATTCGAGAAAATTCAGCGCCTGTTGACATCAATACTTCTGGAGCATATTCGTTTGTTTCTCTCACCATCAAGGCAAGCAAGTTATCATCAAATAATAAATCGAAAAAGTCGGCTGGTGAATAACCTGCAAGTAAAAAAGAAGACAAGAAATCAGAGACATCAAATGTATTTACTCACCAGCAGGGTGAGAAAGCAATTCGTTTTTTTTTGTAAAACGAATAGTGGTATCGATGTCAGGAGCAATGCTCCATTGCCTCACAGGTTGCGTGACTGCTTGTAAAATAGCTACTCCTGTAGTAACCTGTACGTTTTGAACAGCTGGGGTAGGTACAGGTTCCATGTCATCCTCATCATCGGAATCGGGGTAATAGTCGCTATCTTCCTCGGTCGCAAACGGATCCAAATCACTATCGGAATCATAAAGGAGGTTCTCCAATTCAGCATCGTTCAATGGCTGCTTTTTTTTTCTTTTCAGAGCAGTTCTTTTAGGTCGTAAGCCCGATGGCCCTGCCCCACTATCCGCCATTGAAACCGCAAACTGATATTAAATTTTCAATTTTTAGGCACTTCCACACGCTCACTAAATTTCAACTAGGATTCAACGACGCTGCTTTGAAAATAAATACTATGAATGAAAATATGATTCGAATAAAAAACGGTAGTTTTTAATTTTTTTTTAATACCATGGTTTTCTCTATTTTAATAATTTTAATACTTACGTAACCAAAAAAAATAGAATGTGTTTTGAGGTGTTTCTATGACGTTCCAGCTGTATTTTACCCGATTTTACTATTACATCACTGTTGCATGCTTTACAATGAGCATAGTTGACACCTTTCTGACTTTGGGTTAACCATCCTCTATATTCCGGTTTGTTCTCCCATTGTTTATTATATCTTTGATGATACTTTGGTTTCTTTTTTTGGGTTGCTTCATCACTAGTGCAGCTGCTATTGTTATCACTTTCAGAATTCATGGTAATTGATTCTAAAAAGTCAAAATAACAACAAACAAAACTGCTAATTGTTACTAACTTCTTTTTCTATGTTCATGCCTAAGGAAAATAATTTCATCCAATCAAATTTGAATATTCGCGTACTACAAATTTGGTTGACTGAAATACCTCGTGACTGAGACACTGACATCTGTGAATGAAAGAACCAACTAATTGTGTCATATCAACATTTGGTTTAGGCAACCCATATTTTACTTTTGTTTCATATAAATTGTATAATACAAAGGAGAATTTGTAAATTTTATTTATAAAAAGAAGTAAAAAAAGCGGGAGATGTTTTTCAATAGCGGTAGAACGGGAGATTGTTTCCAAAAACGGTATATCTACCGCTAAAACGGGAGACCTGGCATCACTGCTGATAACCTGCTAGTGTTATCGCTACTAACCAAAAAGGCCCCCGATGTTCCTATCTCCCTGTGTTAAAAGTGTTCGTCTTTCACTGCATTAACCACAAAGCGATAAAAATACGATACATTTATTATTACTATTTTATTATTAATTAATATTTATTTAACCACAATGCAAGTATTTTATATTACACAATAAAAACTATAAATTCGACCTAATTAATTTAAATAGCTGAAATTTTTTACAGGGAGTGCAGTTACAATTTACGTTTTTAATTGTTTCTCGGAGTTTAAATGGGCATTCAAGGTGACAATACCACAATTTGACCTTGATTTTTTCAGCTTTAATTTTAATACAAAACAGATACAATCCAAATTACATCGTTTTGATACAATTAAATATTATGTCTTACAATAAAAACGCATTTGTTTTTAAAATATTTAGACAGCTTTGTTTTAAAAGGATGTTAATACCGCAATTTGGCCTTTAGCGATGAGTCATCATCTTGTGGTACATCGTTGTTATTTTTAAATAATAGCTAATATTTTAATGTTTTAAATACACATTTTAAAATCGCTTAAACGAAAAAACTTGCAAGGCCAACTTGCGGATTAAATGCACCCAAAACAGTTGGTAGCTTTGGAGATCTAATAGATAAG